CATGCTAACTACTGTGCTATAACCAGTTTTCTCCATTGCTGCTCGAGCAACTTTCTAAGGTTAACTGAGATCCATACCATCAAATATATGACATCAAGGGGGAAATAAACCTAATTCTATCATCTTTAAAGTGCCTGTGTAATGCCCACCCACACGCTTCTCATTTTAGATCTGTGCCCCACTGAAACGGGCAATTATTGATTTCTTTGCTGAAAATGATTACTCATATCCAAGTAAATTTGAGATATTTCTCGTGCTGTAGCCACGTCCACCTACCCTGAAACGGTCGACTGTTTCCGGATTTCTGACTCTCGTCGAAAGTGCGCCACCAAATATGAGAGGAAGCCATACCCCTGGGCCGTACTTTCATATCACTGTGTCATTCAACATACTTTTTAAACGATATACATTTTTTGATCGACATTACTTTTTTTTGTCTATTTTATTTTATTTTTGAGAGAGCGAATTTTCACAACAAACATTTATGATGGTTAAACGTTGTGTTGTGGACGGTTGCAGTAATGTGTATAGTCATAGTGTAAGTATTTACACGTTTCCAATCGATCTGAAGGTGCAAAATCGGTGGACGAAAGCAGTGAAAATAACGAGAAAAGGTTGAGGTGGACTTCCTCCTTGCATCGTCATATGTAGTGTCCACTTCACCTCAGATTCTTTTTTTCAAAAAAAACTGTCCTTGTCCAAAACAACTAGGTTTTAACGAGAAACGCCGACAACTGAAACCTGGCGCAATACAAAACGTTTTCGAAAAAATAGATTCTGGACCAGCCCATGATCACTGAGGCGGATTTCAGAAGGGAGAGAGACGTAAGTGTTTCAAATGATTTGATTTTTTTTTTGCGATCCTGATTATCGCTTTATAGAGACCATCCATTTTATGTAAAAGGTAGCAGTAATTTTGATAATGACACGAAAACGAAGCGTCGAACAAACAGGAAATTACGCAGCTCTCAGGTTGTTTTCATTTTCGCAAGTGTCTGAATTGTTCGGTGATTGGTGTTGAATGTCGAATTCACACATTTGTTGCCTTTACTTGCAGCTTGATCTGCGTAATAATTTATGGAATAAGAATCCGTGCTTGGGCTGTCAATGTATTTTTTTAATATGATGTCATAATTATGAAAATCACGCTAAATCCACTCTGAATTTGTCTGCATGTGAGTCGCTCTCAATTATTTTTGTTATCCAATTAAACGCAGCCATTAACACACTTGTCCCCGTCATGTACCGACGCGTTCACCCATTACAACAAATTTATTTCCATGTGGCAGTCATTTATTTAGTAACTGTGTTTTGTCGTTTTTTTTTAATTATTTTGCTATTTTATTGATCACTATAATTTAATGTTTAGAATGTCAAAATATGTTCTCTTTTTATTTTAATTTTGAATGTGTTTTTTTACTCAGACGATCGATGAAATAAAACAGTGTAGTGACGTGCCTAGTAACCTGCTAAATAACAAAACGATTCAGGCATCAAATTTGATTTCGTCCAGTGCCAGAGTCCAGCGACAGTGTACAAACGTGCACCAATGACTGTGACAACCACGGTGACTAGCTACACCAGACCGGACATATTACACATCTGACTCAACCCCATGAAACAAACTTGATACTATGTGTTCATTATGGTCCATTCTTCCTCGACGAACAAGTACATAAGTGGCAATTTAGTCAAAGACGAGAAAATGGCACAAGAAATTCGTCTTATTTATATGTATCGGCAATGCAAGCTACCCAGCAACTTCCCCTTCTGATGTCACAAGGGGAATTTCTGTATGCAAATGAGAAGCTAATGGGGAGTCTCGTTTTAAAATAGACAAAAATAAAGTTTAAAGTTTAAAACGCATTTTTTATTAATTTTTAAAAATTAATAATATTTATGTATGAATGGATAATTTTAGATGTGAAAATAGCAGCCATTTCATAGGCACTTTAAAGGAAAACTTCAATGTGTTAATAAATTACTACCATACTTCCTCGATCATAAGCCCAGGGGGCCTCAACATATAAATTCTGGAAAATTATGCGATGGGCTTATACTTTTTTGGTTTACCATTGTAACCTTCTTAACCACCCACAAAAAATTATCCAAATTACATGTTTCGTTCACCATGCCGGGCTCGGGGGAATATTACTTCGTTTTGAAAAAAAAAAAAATGAAGAGAGTCATCATTGATTTCCACAACACTTTTACAATGAAGAAACAAACATGTTCATAAAAATACACACATTTTATTACATTACTTTAAAATTGGTAGGGTCTGTGGGAAAAAAGTCGAAAGTAAGAAAGACCTTTATCATTATCTTCGTTGTGGGATGTTTTTGATAGTACACAAACACTCCAAGAAAGGCAATTTCCGCCATCATGTTTTTCAGCATGATTTGACCTGAAACACCATCCCAACAGGTCAAGTTATTCATTAACCAATCAAAATGCTGTGTCATACTGATGAAGTTTTTTGATTATTGGCGATGTCATATTTTAACACCTTATAATCGGGAAAGCCTTCGGGGATCGGGGAAGTAGGGTAAATTTATAAACTAATGAGCACCTAAAAACTATTATTACCTTTCTAGGGAGTTCAGTATGACTCATATAATCTTCTAAAAATAGCAGCACATTAGTTACATCGGGTGGTAAGTCAACTTTCTGACTCGTGGCCGTAACCTCAACCATTGATCTCACATACTGGCCAATCAGTGCAATGAACTGGTCGATATTCTCACTATGAGCTTGTCGCAGTAAAGTCACCGTACCAGCTATGAATGGTGGTCCATCTAACGGCTCTTTTGGGTTCTTGGCTGTCATACTCGCTGTGGAAGAAAAAAGATTGGTGTTCAAGGGTTAAACTGAATAGTTAAGGTACACATTGGTGGTTTTTCAAAGAGATCAGGACAGGACCATGTCAGTTAAGAGATTGTACAAATAGACTTACGATTTAAGTTTCACTGAAAACCCATTCATAAGGCATGGGGGTATCTCACACCCATGACAAAAAATATGAGGTAAGATTCATGGGAAGTATAAATACTTATGAAAGTGTTGAATGAGTATCAATGTAATAGCAAATTACTTACCCACGGCTTTTGTATACTGCATTTTCGGCATCTGCGATATGACCAATAAGAAGGCAAACAAGGGAAAATACGGCACTCTCTTTGTTGTTGTATAAATCTACAATAATACCAAGGTGGTATAAGTTATATAAGAGTATGCAAATGATGTGATATGCAAATGTGTGATATGCAAATGATGTGATATGCAAATGTGTGATATGCAAATAGTGTGATATGCAAATGATGTGATATGCAATCAAGATCTCATTTGAAGTCACACAAATTAACATATGCAAAATATACATATTCAAAAAGTAAAATTATTCACATTTTCAAATGGAAATAAATATTATTATGGAATGTTTCCTCAAGCTGAAGTGACATTGTCTGGACTACATACTATAAAACATGTTGAAAAAGCGGCATGAAATTTTAGCAAATTGTGGTAAAATGACGTTCCGGTAATAGCTATATGTTGATTTAGCAAATCTTACTTGTCATTGTTGATTTTTTTGTTTGGCGGCCATTTTGAATTGATAATAAAGTCATTAGCAACATCTTGAATTAGCGAATCAGTTGTCTCGCTTAATTCGCGAAAAAGACATGTTTTACAATATGCATGTATTCTACGGCTCTGTAATTGTTTTTCTGTTCTCTGGTTAAGCTTTGCGTACATTACACTCTATATGTAGTTCAAAACTAGCAAATCTCTAAAAATTGGCCACTACACAAACGTATCAATAAAAAAACATTAAATTTTGGACATTAGACATGTACTCAAATTAGTGGGCATTCAAAATGTCCTGTATGTGCTGTTATTTTTAATGACATTATCAGGGGGGAAAAAGGCCGACTTACGTTTCTGAGATATGGTAAAAGGTATCAAAGAGCAACTCAAACACATTAGTCGTCAGCAAATACGATGTTTGATATCTACTGAAGTGAAAATGCTGCAAATGCACAAACATGCAGACAGACAGACAAAGCCAAAGACTATAATACTGTAAAACATGTCTTTTTCGCGAGCATGTCTTTTTAGCGAATTTAGCGAGAGAAGTGATTCGCTAAATCAAGATGTTTATTTTATTATAAATTCAAAATGGCCAAGACTTGGAGATTTGTATACAGTAATCCGGAACATAAAAACCTGGGCGCTTCCTTATTACACTTTTTCTTTGTTCTTATGGAAGTGACAACTGCTCATTTGGGTTGGTACGCAACAGAAAAGTATTGTGAAAACATTCGCTAAATCAACATTTAGCTATTTCGTCATTTTATCACAATTCGCTAAAATTGCATGTCACTTTTTCAACATGTTTTACAGTAGTTCCTTTTTTAGACTAAATAAACAATGTATTTTTCTCTCATTCATATAATGTTAACTATTATCTACATCAAGCATGTGAAGTTCTGCTGAATAGCGCCCTCTAAAATGTTAACAGTATGCGTAATTACCTTTGTGAAAGGATTATTTATACCAGCACACTCTAAGTAGGAAGTCAATTCATACAATAATGGATTCTCATCTTTAGGATAGGGTAACGTAGGATCCTGATAGTGAGCCTCAATGTCCGACATTAAAGAACTGAAAGATAAGTTAAATAATAACTTTACTGTTTTGAAACAAAGATTATCACAAATCAATAAATATATGAAAGATGTAATATGATACAGTGATATTTGGAAAATTATTCTTTAAGGATTGGATACGACTTTTGTGGCCCGAGGCAGAAGCCGTACGACCGAGGGTAGCAAAAGTAATTTATGTTGTTTTGAGTGATGAAATCCGGGCGCTCTGGTCCAGGCATGATTCAGGAAACTATAGCCCTGATGTGAGGGCACACTTCCCATAGTGTTACGAGGCCCGGCAATATGAGGTATATGATAAGAACTCTTAGCTGAAATAATAGATTAATATGAAACAATTACTACTAAAATTTAATACTGGTTTATCATCATAATCTACTTCACAGATGCACATGCTTAGAACACTTCTAACAGAAATTGTATTCTTTTTGACTGGCTATTTAAAAGTTTAAAGAAAAAAATTTGGGTATCAGGAATTTTTTGAATCATGAAGCTCAATAGAACCTAGATGCAAATGGCAAGCGAGAGTCCCATGATACTTGTTCCAACCCCCCCCCCCCCCCACATCTATTACAATAGTTTTTCATGGTTACGGTAGGTCAAACAAACTATGGAGTCCCATGATACTTGTTCCAACCCCCCCCCCCCAATCTATTACAATAGTTTTTCATGGTTACAGTAGGTCAAACAAACTATGGAGTCCCATGATACTTGTTCCAATCCCCCCCCCATCTATTACAATAGTTTTTCATGGTTACGGTAGGTCAAACAAACTATGGAGTCCCATGATACTTGTTCCAATCCCCCCCCCCCACATCTATTACAATAGTTTTTCATGGTTACGGTAGGTCAAACAAACTATGGATAATGGAGTCCCATGATACTTGTTCCAATCCCCCCCCCCCCCCCC